TTGTTGCCTGTAAATTAGGGAAGTACTTCTTTTCTCTCCTAATTGATGTTATATGTCTATGAAGTTGAATGCTAAGTCCCTTGAAGGTTGGATAAAGTATGTGATGTTTTAGTTTGAAAATTGGTGTGCTTAATGTTTAACTGCTTGTAAATAGTCTGGATTTAGATTTTGATTATCTTTTTGAGCATTGATGCCTTCAAGAAATCTTGTGATAAATTTTCAAAATCAGTTTGAGTGATAGAATTTAGATTACCTAGTTCCTTTCTGATTTTTGGTCTTCGATTTGAATTTTATTTTTGGAACTATGGTGTTTTTCATACTTGCTCTACATGGTCTATATGCACAATTATTTGATGTATGCCAAGGAATTTGATGAGCTTAATTTTTATTATCTTTAGTCTGGGCTTAAATTCTAATCCTTGGTACTCGAAAGAAACCTTTGTTGTGTGTTCTTTATTGTTGACAGTTACAATGTCAATTGGCTGTAACAAGGACGTCATGAACCCTAGTATCATGTGTTGTACCGAGGGTAGATGTGCTGGGTTCTACAATCACAACAAGCAAGTTTGCCAATTGCCGGTTGGCTTGCCTTCTTTGAACAAAGGGAGTGTTTCTAATTCTTTGTTATTTTTACACTTCCTTGAGCTTTAATTTTTTATGATATTATTTTATGAAGGCATTGTCTGGTATAAGCTTGGGGGAGTAGTGTCATGCCATGTTATTTGATTATCATCTTTGCATGGTGTTGTTAATTTATGTGGTTCTTTTATGTACTATGCCATGTGGTTACTGGTTATTCCTTTTCCTCTGTGTTTATTTGTGTCCATTGAGGATAATATCTATTTTAAGTTTGGGGGAGAGAATAGCTCATGTCTTGTGTAGCAATGCGTTTGTCCTCAAGTAATCGATTCATACTCTTGTTTTCATTAAAAAAATTATTAGAAAATTCTTTTTGAAAAAAAAATGAAAAACCAGAAAAAAGATAAAGATAAAAAATGTTTTCAATTAAGTCAAGTTCAATTGCATGCTTTGAGAATTGTCAATAATATATGATGAACTCAATTGAGGGTTATAAATGACTATAAAACACTTGTTCAGGATCATTCTAAGGCAATGTTAGAAACTCATGACCACATCCTTATGCACAACATTCCACGTGACAATGTGTTTGCTTTGCACTTATACTTTTAAAATCTTGAATGCTTAATGCATTGGTGTGATCTTATACTGTAGTCCACTTGTCTAAAACCTGGGGGGACTATAAATTTGAGAGTCAGACTAAGGCAGCCCTACCCATTATGGCAGTCTCGAATCGAGCCCATAGTGGTTTGTATTAGCTTAAATACCTTGGGAAAAGGGAAAGTTGGTGGTTGAATATGAGGTTAAGTATTTTATCTAATGAGGGAGTATAGGCAGTGTCATATGTGGCATTTAATCCCTTGAGAAGTGAGGTCTTGCACCAAAAAGAGAAGTGTCCTCCGACCTGGTGAGGTTAAATATATATTAAATGCTTAGATTACCATAGTTGCTGAAACATGCTCTTGGTAAAGGCCTGAGTGGGAAAGAGTCTGAAGAAAAGCCAATTGGACCAAGGTGGAAAAGGAACGAGGGTGAAAAGATGCCGCCAATTATACTTGCAAAAATGAGAGAAAGCCCTTAGTTCTAAAGCTCGGTAAGAATACCCTAGTTGAATGGAAGAAGGAAATAGGTACTGATCATAAGAATGTCCACTTGAAATAAATTGAATCTAATCTAAGAATGAATAGTATTTTAAGCAACACATTGTTTAATGGTTTGTTTCACACACTCACGGAAGTGAATTTCTGTCTTGCTTAAGCGATATTGAACTGTGGTGTATATTATCTGTTTCTGATGAGACTTGAATCTGAGACAAGTTTTGGCAATTCTCTTTGCTGTTTTTGTATGTTTTTGTCTAATAAAATGAGTTTTGAATTTGTTTGCTTGAGTACAAGCAAAATATTAAGTTTGGGGGAGTTTGATGAGTCTAATATTTACATACACTTTTATATAAATTCACTTAAGACTTTGCTATATTTTTATATGCTTTAAAGATAATTTAACTTAAGAAATCTTTATTTGCAGTATTTAGAAGATTGATGATGGTTGGAGTCAAATGAGATGAAAGCGGACTCAATTGAAGAAGAAAATTGAAGCTCTGCACTGAAGTTTTGATTGAAAGAATTATTGGAGAGAAAGTTGTAGAGCTGAAGACTCGAAGGACTAAAATGTCAAAGTCAGCACCTTAACTACCAATTCTGGCCGGGAAACAAATTTAATTCAGATCAAGTGATTAACCAAGTGGGCCCATTTACTTTATTCATTGGGCTGGTTGGGTGTATTAGTGATGAAACACAATTTGGTTTTGAATTAATTAATTAAATGGAGCCCAAGTAATTAAAGCGTTGGGATGCTCTACTCTTGCCTATAAAAATATAATGTAAAGCCAAAAGAAGGGAAGCTGGTTGGAGTTAGGCTATAGAGTTCAATCTTGGGCAGAATTGGAGTCTCGCGACTTGGTCTTGGCTGCGCGCAACAAAGAGAGGGGCAGCAGCCCCTTTGCTGCTGTCCTTCGCAGCGTACTCTATTTTGATTTATTTGATTGTCTTTTGAGTACGTTTATTGATTCCATTATTTATAGTACATGGATATTGTATTGATGATTTTATTGAACTTCTTTTGTTGGTGATTCAATGAATGGTTATTCTTCGTGATTTAATTCCATGTGATTATTTTGGCCAATTAATTATATGTGTTAGAGAATTATGCATACATAGGAATAAGATGTATAGTTTAGCTCTGGAGCAATAAATCATGACATAAATATAAAAGTTTATGATTTCTTACCGGATAGGAATGTATCGGTAAGACATGGGTGGCCAAATGTGATACCTAATCTTAATGACTCTACGATTAAATGTAATTATAGGAATATAGGCTTGTGATTAGTAGTAGAGATACCCTTATGACTTCGGAAGGAGCTTAAGGATATATTTAGGAGATCCGGCCAACATTCATTCACCACTGTTAGTTTAGAGTTGATAAGACAATTGAAGTGGAAATAAGTAATTGAACTAATTTGCATTATTTTGTTTTCTTCATCACAAATTTAGCTTAGGTTTCTATTTTATCACATTTTCCCGATTTCGGTTTCTTCTTCTTAAACTTGATATTTGATTTACCACCCTGTGGAATTCGATCCTGCTTGCTGCTTTGTTACGTTTTAGAGTACGTAAATAATTGTTGGTTTGACATCCATCAATTTCTTCAAGAGATGGCGGAACAACATCAGCAGTTGGCCGCAAACTAGAAACGACTTCAGCAAGAATTTGCTTCTCGCGGGGATTCTAGCTTTCCAGAGGCAAAATTTGTGCAGCAGTAAACGAAATTAAATGAGATTGATGATTGATGATGAAATTAAATGATCTAGTTGAAACGTTTCTTCAATCTCGTTTTGTTCTGCATGGACAGGGGGCTGGCACATCGACATCTTCTTGTAGTCATGGCAATTGCAACACCATTTGGGTAGGCGGCGGATCACCATCAGCAACGGTGGCTTGTGTCAATGGGGTCTGGTTAACATTTGAAGGGGAAGGATTCGGCAGTGATGTTTGTTTTGGGTGATGATTTAAAGTATGAGATTCTGGCCTTTGTGATGATGATACTTTAGGATTGTGTCGACAGGATTGATAGTCATGCCCAAGCTTTTTACAATCAACGCAATATTGTCACGTGTTTTTATAGTAGATTTGTTGAAAGTATGACTTTCCTTCAATTCCCAATCTGACTTTAATGGGATGCTCTTTGAGGAGGTCAAGCTCTACACAAACACGAGCTACCAAAGGCTGCCACATATTAAGAGTTGGAACATCAATTTGAAGTGGATTCCCGATGATGCTAGCAAGTTTCCACAAGTAGTCCTAATTCAATCGATGAATTGGGAGACCTTCGAAAGAGATCCAAACTGGAACCATAGAACTTTCATGTGCCGGATTGAATTCTGTGGTCCATTTTAAGACTCGCATCCAATGCTTGTCAATGGTCCATAACTCTTTCAGCCTGCAACGATGAAAATCCTCTTCTAGATCAAACCATATGAGAATATGCCGGTAGTCAATTTGAAATTCCCTTCAAAACCAATGATTTGAAATTCCCTCTACAGATAATCCATTTTTGGTCTACCTTTGGTAAATTTTTCTACTAGGGCTAATCGAAATAGAGCTGCCAATTGTTCATCCTCTTCTTTTGTAAGAAGAAAAGTTGGCTCTCCTTTGAATAATGTTGGCTCTGAAAAAAGTTGTTCATCCTCTTCTTTTTTGTTGTCAGATTGTGTATTGTTTCAGGATTTGAATTAGAGCTTAAAATATGGGCAAAAGAATGCCGTTGAAGGGTTGTTGTGCCTATAGCTAGCGGCGTATCGCCGGCCAGGGGAAGAAGGTTAGAGAGATGTCAAGGAGAAAGGAGACTTTCTGGAGATATAAAATTTTCGAACTAAACTCAATCTTAATAATGGTAACTTAACTATTATTAAGATATATTGGAGTGATTATGATATATTGGAGCAGAAACTTCACTATAGAAAGATTCTCGTTCTAATTCTCGTTCCGTGTCAAAATCTTCATCTTCAGAATCCATGTAGATTTGATTTTGGTCATCCTCGAAGTTAATGTTTTCAACTAAGAAGTCCGTATTGGAAGACTTTGTGTTGATTCCAATCTTTGTATCATCCTTGGAAAGCTATTGTTTTGGGGCCGTAAAAGGTAGTAAAACCTGTAAAAGAGGAACTTGCGGTTGAGGTGAAAAGGTAAATTCAGGAGCACTTGGATTTAACTTTTGGATGGACCGGTTACTTGAGATGTTTGGGGGATATATGCCTTCATTATTTGATGGAGAAAATTTCGAATCCACAGAATTAGATTACGACTTATTCTCCTGTGACTTATCCTCGTTAAAAATTAAAAGCGTCGGGTCAACCGCAACTATTACGAGGTCTGATGGCATGGAAGGCTGGACCATTCACGCCGGATTTCTACCTCAGGTGATGAATATGCACCATCACTGCTAACATCAGTCGTCGGCGAGTGATTATCAGCATCAACAATTAGAGAGTCGCACTGAAGAGGATCAGAAACACGCTGAGTAGGCGGGGATTTCTCCGTTTCAGCAGCGGCTTCAAGTTCTATATGTTGTGTGATTATGGGAAGTGGAGGACTGACTGAGACGTCTACTGGAATGGCAATCTTTTCCATTGTCGCTAATCCTGAGGTTGAGCCCTCAATGACTTTTGGAGAACACAGAATTAGCACTTCCGGCATGGTAGAATTTCTGCAGGGGGGGCGCGCTAAAGGGGGGCACGACTAGGGTTTTGGAAACATCTTCTAATAGTGATTGTGATGCACCAGCAGTCTCTTCCACATTAACGACTTGCACCATCGTCCGAGCTACGGTATCAGGCTTTGGATCACCACCCACATCAGTAGCCTTCCGCAGTGGGTTCTTCTCAATGTTGGTGGCCAGATTTTTGTCGGCATCAATGGCTTCCTTAAGGGTTAACGCAGCTTTGAGGGACCAGAATTTTGCGACTGAGGGACATTTGAAAAAGGTGTGTTTGGTTTATCCCCCAATTTCTGCCCTTGCTTTCCTAAGACCATGGTTTTTGAGATTGATGGGCACTTATTGCTCTGATTATGCCAACAAAATTGGAGATCATGTCCAATCTTTTTGCAATCTTTGCAATATAGGGGTAAGTTTTCATAGTAGACAGATTGGAAATAGGTGTTCCCTTCCACACCGAGTTTGATCAGAATGGGCAGTTCTTTGAGAAGATTTACCTCCACACAAACACGAGCAACAAAGGGACGGGACATGTTGAGAGTAGGAACGTCGATTTTGAGGGGCTTACGAATGATTGTTGCAACTTTGTGCAAGTATTCTTGATTGAAACGGTGAATTGGAAGTCCTTCAAAGGACACCCAAACTGGAACAATCGGAGACTCATGTGCCGGGTTGAAAGTTGGTGTCCATTTCTGAATTCGCATGGAATGCTTATCGAAAGTCCAAATACCTTTCATCCAGCAGCATTCGAAATCTTCCTCTAGATCGAAGTAGATGAGTACATGACGTCGATCAATCATTCCCAGAGAAAAACCACCTTTGAAACCTATTGTTTGGAATTCTTTCCACAAATAATCCATTGTTGGTCAACCTGTTTTGAATTTCCCGGCAAGTGCCAGCCGAAATGGAGCAGCCAATTTGTCATCTTCCTCCTGTGTTAGAAGGAAAGTCGGCTCTCCTTTGTATTCTGTTGGTTCGGATTGAATAATGAAAGCATTTGGTTCAGAAGAAGCCGTGAAAGCTTTGGATAGTGTTCGTGGATTTGGTTTTAGGCCTCCAAGAATTTGAGCAAAAGATGGGTTATTGATTACGGGTTGGCCTAGGCTACTGGCCGGCGGTTGATCGTCGGCCATTAGATGAATTTGCCAGTTTCAGCTTAATTATTATTTACTGGACCTCAAAAGTTGTTACCTCCCCTGGTTTAATGTCCAACGCAAGTAGAGCAAAATAACATGTAAATAATCGTTAACAACAAAGAAACTCAAGGAAAAAAAAACTTAGGTAAAGTTATTGTTGTACCAACATTATGCTATATATCATTCTACTCAACCCTATGTAATTCACCATAAGGTACGTGTTTGAGTAAAAACAACTCATATGTGCTTCAATTAAGGTCAACCGTTTACAACCCCATCATAAATAGACACCATTTTTAAACCTTTTTGTTATCTGTCTATCTCATTGTAATGTTATGTATGCACTAGTTAGTCACTGTTATCAACGAGTAATATTCTGTTATGTGAAAAGGGAGAAAGAAAAAAAAAGATAATCATGAAAATAAGGGGTGGGGGGGATCACTCAGGATGACTGTTCTTCCCATCTAGCTAAGAATTTGTAATTGATCAGTTCCTAGGATACAACCTACAGTAAAGCTTTAAAGGAAACACCATTCTTGGAAGTCAAGAACAAAGGGACCATAAAAACTAGGAAAATTCTGTGCACTTGACCAGCTAGATGCAAATTCGTATTCACAGATGACCAATAACATTGTGAATGGAACACCATCCAAAAAGAGTAAAATAGTTGAAATATTAATGATTGTTATTCAAAACAATCACGTGGTTACTTTAGCACCATCTATCTATGTTTCACTTTGAGTTGGATGTTTTTAAGTGAAAAAAAAATGAACAAATGAATATACACATCCAGATTGGTTAACCTACGTTTTACTGTAAGCATACTCAAAGTTGGGTTGAATATTTTAGCGTTAAGTATATTATAACAAATACAGTGTGTAATAGTATATTTTTACTAGTGCGTAGTTCACTATCTATTTTGAATATATGGTTAAATCACCAAATTATTGTTGTCTCCTTCCTACAGAGTACTATTGTTTAAAGTGTTTAAAGTGTTAGAAGTTAGTGATCTCTTTCTTTGTACGAAATTACTTTTTTTAAAAATTACAAAAGTTTTTAACATAAGTCAGCATTTCCTTTCTTTCCAATTGAATGTTTTTTTCTAACAATGAAAGAGACAAATCATCTAACATCAATCTAAAATATTTAGTAAGCAGAAGACACCAATAACACCAATTTAAACATCCTAGATGCGATCAAACCCTCATGGCTATAGTAGCTTCCAAAAAGTTGAATAATTTGTTGCAAAATTCACTTCCCTAAAAATTTGATTGACTTTAACAGACTTAAACAAATTTTAACACATCTCCTTGAGGACTTATTAGCTTTAACATATGACCAGTCCTTTGAATTATTCAAGCGTAGTCATCCCCACTTTGCTATTTGAATCAAAACATGTTGATTATTAGTTTCAACATTTTGAAGTTAATAGTCACAGTAAAGCCTATCAACCGACATTCAAGTTCGTCATTTATTTACTCTCCCATCCATAGAACTTGCCGTTCCGAAGCATCATTTCCAATACCAATCTTTATTTTGACTATAAGAATTAATATTCGGTGTGAAATGAAACAATCGGGAACTGTCTTCCTAGCTCATGTTAGTTGCAGAGTGGAGATGATAATAAACTAGATGGATTGCAAAATTTTGGAAGTCAAGGACAATGAGTAATGACAATGGAAAAATTATAGTCGATGACAATAACATTAATTGTCATCTTACAGACCAAGACTCCAACTCATTCCCCTTCAAAAGTGAATAAAATAAATAAACAGTCGAAACTAATAGACCCCTGGATTACATTTTCTTTTCTTGAATAAATTAACATCAGAATAACCTGTAAAAACATTTCTAAAATGTATAACTGTATTTGAACATTGTAGCCAAGCTCCCACCTTTACAATAGTTTATGACTAGTTGTGAAATGTTTGCCTCATGTTGTAACTAAATAGTTGAGACAGAAAGTAAATCAATTTTTTTTAACCCGATTTTGGAATTTAGCCTCTTGGTTATTTTTGCACTTTATGTTGTGGTATGCACAATTTTTTAAGCAGGGCAGTCTAATTATTTATGTGGTTTGAATACAATTGTTATAATTCTAATGAAGTAACTCAAATATTTTATTTTATTTTATTTTTCAAAGTCCGTAATTGATGTTTCGCTGCTCTTGTTAGTGAATAATATTTTTTAAAAACTCATACGATATTATTTTTTCATATTAGCTCCGACCACAAGTATATATTCATAGGGGTACTTCCGGCCACTGGGAGTCTGGAGAACCCCAGGGCCCTTAGCGAGTTTCGCCCTGTCCTCTGTCACCTCTTAACCAGGCATATCCACTTTTTGCAGTATAAACATTCCCTCCGATTCCTATCCACTGCTCATTATGGATTCCACCTTTCAACATCTCCTTGATTTTCATCAGTTTCTTTAAACTCCACCAGCTGTGATGAGGGGTTTTATAGGTCCACAAGCTTTTTCCTTTTTTAGATAGTAACTGTGCATCCAGTTCACCCATAAACTCTCTTTACTCTTTGGAAAGGATTTTAAGATATTCATTCGTAAGTTTATAATCGGATTCGTTAGAAAACTAATTAACAACTAGATGCTTGGATCTGCCCGGGCGCCCCTGTGTTTTAACTTTATTTAGTAAAATGAATTACAAAAACTTATTTTCATACATATATATATATGTATATAAGTTGTGAAATTATGCATGCGCATAATGTTTTATCGGTAAATATGAATTATTAATAGTTAAAATTTACATAGTATAGCATAAATATGTATAGTAGTAATATTTTATTAAAATCTTGATGAAAGTTTTACAAATTAGCAAGGCCATAAAGAGAAAAAAAATTTCAGTTTGTATTGTCTAGTTTTTATGCAAGCCCAAAACATAATAAACATCTCCACAAAATAGCCCAAATTGAACCCAAAATCTAGGCCTGCAGTCTAGTTAAATACTCCCTAATTATATTCGTTAAAAAAAAAAAAAGGAAACGAATGTTTTTTTAAGTGACTTGTTAGTGTGCGAATGAATTATACGGCGAATGTAGGAGGCATATGTGGGAATCAAATCTGGTTACGAAAAGGGAAAGAGTAAAAATTCTTCATCCAAATGGGGGGAGGGGGGAGTCTAGATTTTTCATCCCCTTTTCTTTTGTACATTTGAATCAAGTATATCTAAATTGTTTGAACTAAACATTGAGCTTAGATAGCAACAAATTTTGATTTTTCAATCGAATCCATATGCCTTCAATGACTTCAGATCTAACAGGTGATGAAACTTTTTTTCGTTCAGTATTATTTATTATTCTGATTTTAATCTGTATGAATAGTATATAGGGAACTTTTTTTTTTATTTACAAACCCTAAATTGTGTTTGTATATATATATATTTTTTTGGATTCGTAAAATTCCTAGTGTTGGAGTTGGTAAATGAGATGCTACATTCCTCGAAACTTAGTATTGGGATGGTCAATGGAAGTTCCTTCTGTTCCAGCTAAGGTGAGGAAGTTTCTTCATACCAAATCTATGGTTTATTCAATTTCATATAGATCGGTATTTAATGGGGAACAGTTAGATTGAGTTAAATATACATGAAGCTGGAGAACAGTTGATTTGTGCATATATTAAACCCCTATATGTTGGATGATGTACTATTTTCATTTCTCAAATTAATTACTGTAAATTTAAATTCTTTATGTGTTCTAAATAATCTGTATAATATATGTAAGATGATAGTAGAATTCTGGAAGTACTAAAATTGTTTAAAACATATAAACACACCTGAATTTGATAGTTAAAAAACTAATTCTTTCCTGAAAATAATTAACAGAATA